AATCTGACCGCAACTGAGGTGTCGACATGTCGCACGTAGGATTCTAAGGGGAAGGGTTTGTGATGTTTTAGAAGTCAAGAAGCGCAACTTTTGGCACCCCAGTGTAATTGTTGGCCTTGGTCGAGGCCAAAAACACCCTAGAAAAAGTTGTTCACCGAATGAGCCCACACTCTAGACTCTAGATAAACCTTTTCAATTGTGTTTTCTGCTTGCTGAGGGGCTGAGGGGGGTTGCTTTGCGAACCTTGTTCAACAAACCAAAAAGAAGTCTCTATGTTGACTGAGTCTAGCTGCAATGTTTGCATATTTCGAGAGGCTTCAGGCCAATAATCCCGAGTACCTATTAAAAAACGGACCCCTAATAGAAAAAAACCATGTCGGAAACCCCTAAATACGGTTTATATGTGTTTGTTAATTGCCGCCCTTTCAAGCCGCTACTAAACTACCAACATGGCCGATTTTGGAGGAGTTTCTTTTTAGGTTCCCCAAAAACTCCCTCTTGACCTAGTAGTAGTAGTAGTAGTAGCAGTGGTAGTCGTAGTGGTAGTGGTAGTCATAGTCGTCGTAGTAGTAGTAGTAGTAGTAGCAGTAGTAGTAGTAGGTAGTAGGTCGTAGGTGGTAGGTGGTAGTCCTAGTCGTAGTCGTAGTCGTAGTCGTAGTAGTAGTAGTAGTAGTAGTAGTAGTGGTAGTGGTAGTGGTAGTGGTAGTGGTAGTAGGTAGTGGTAGTCGTAGTAGTGGTAGTAGGAGTAGGTAGTAGGTAGTAGGTAGTAGGTAGTAGTTAAGTAGTAAGTAGTAAGTAGTAGGTAGTAGTTAGTAGTTAGTTAGTTAGTTAGTTAGTTAGTTAGTTAGTTAGTTAGTAGGTAGTAGTAGTAGTAGTAGTAGTAGTAGTCGTAGTCGTAGTGGTAGTCGTAGTGGTAGTCGTAGTCGTAGTCGTAGTCGTAGTGGTAGTGGTAGTGGTAGTAGTTAGTCGTAGTAGTCGTCGTCGGCGGCGTCGTCGTCGAGACCCTGCTTCTCCCACCCTCTGCTGCCTGCCTCCCTGTCGTTTCTGCCGTGTGGTGTGCCGTTTGGCTGTTTGTCTGGCACTGGGCAGGTTGATATCCTCTTGCCCCAATCCAACAAACATGCCGCGGATAATTATATGTATATTATATATATATATGTTTTTTTTTACCATGGCCGGTTTTTGGCACACTTTCGATATCAGTTTTACTACAGATGTATATCCACACGTCCCAGACACACCTAATTAGTTAATTATTGTTCTTTAAAGAACGGATCCATGTCCTTGTCCTTTGAAGAAAAAAAAACTTCTGCCTGTTCCGTCAGCTGCCTCGCATGGGCCGCCTGCCGCGCTGCCTTCCTCCGCGTCTGCTCACTCTGCCTGCCCGCTCCCTGCCGCCGCTTCGCTCTCTCCAGACCAGGACATGGCTGCCTCTCTGCCTGCCTCTTCGCAGACTCCGAAGGCCCCGCTTTCTGTCTTGGGCCCACGCACAGTGTGCGGATGTGGCTCTCTGCACTGCCTGCCCCTTGCTCCCGACCCTGGCTCTCTGGTGGCTGCAAGTCGCAGCCTTCTGACTCCACCCTGTCTGCCCAGCCACATGTCTGTCTTGTCCTGTCCTTCAACCCTGTCTGTCCTGTCCTGTCTTTCCGCCCTTTCTGTCCACCCTGGTTGTCAACCCTGTTCATTGTTTCGACCCTGTCTCCTGCTCTGGCTGGTTCCGAAAAAGTCTGACACCCTGCTGACAAAATGGCTCCCTGGCTAAGATTTGGAATGGGTTGCGTTGTAAATCATTACAGTAATTAATCCTTCACTTACCCAGGAAATCTGCGCTTGAAGGTCCACCGTCCACCATGCAAGTACTGCACCTGCCCCGAAATCCGCACCACCAAGTGCTGCACTTTGCACTTCCAGGTCACTTCAAGGTCCACCAAGTGCTGCACGTGCTACGAATCTGCACTTCCACTGACCCTATTTTGGAACCCCCAAATTTCTTAGGGTGTACCTTTATAAGGGTATGTCCTTGCTGATATTTGTGTACTTGTCTATACTTAGAAATGTCATAGGTTTCCTGGAAAGAAAACATTTAGGAAGACAAAGGACTGTTAGTGAGTGTATGGCAAAGATCATGGATTGCCTAGAAAAAGGCAGACCTTCAAGAACTTCAAGAGGACAAATGAGACCTTGCACAACCGGTCGGGCCAACCCTACACGGATACCCTTCCTTGATTGAAAATTGCTCATTGCCTGCATCAAGACACTGAAAACCAATAGGGGCCAACCGAAAATCCTTTTGGCGTTGGGACACAAAGTTTTGTCCACCACTCATATGCAGTTCTTGAAGTCTGGGATCGAGGAGAAGAGTTTGCTTGCTGAGCATGCTTGCAAGCAAATGTGATAGTGATACTTGTGTTTCTGTGAGCACGATTCATGTAGTGAAGCTTGCTGAAGCGTATTTTTTGCTATGCCCATGTTTTGCTCGGGACAGCAAAGTAGCCTGAAGAAGCCTATTGTCAAAATGGTTCTTCAGATCATATTGGAGTGCCCGCCACGATCACCGGCTTGATTTTGTCCTGCTAGCTGCTAGCTGGAAAAGATTATGTCGGGTATTTGCAATCCATGCGCAGGGGCTGGGGTGCTGGTAAAGTTGGGGCATATTGCTGTGCCCCAACGGTGAACAACATCCAATACATCGGCTCCATTCATGTTGCTTGGGCTTGGCAGATCGATTTTGGGTTTTGCGTGTGACGGACTCGAAGGAAGGCAGCAATCATTCCTCGAGTTTGTGCAACGGTGTCAATGGGTCTATGCTGAGGATACGGCTGCTCATCCATATGTGTATGATACGCGGTCGGATGCCGAGAAAGCGTGCAAAGCAGCTGGATATCATGGTCTTTGCAGGAAGGGGCAGGCTGGAGGCAGGACACAGTTTTAGCATTGTGAGAAATTGTAGGTTCCTTCGCAACTGATCGACTGAGCTTTGGCCAACGAAACCTTTTGGCAGCTACTTGTACCTCCCCAAAGACAGTGCAGCCCACTTTCGAGTCATGCGGCTGATCGCTGGAACATGTCTATTGAGGTTTATGACGGAGAAGTTTCCCTTCCCTGACAGGTTTGCGTTTTATCCCTAAGTTTAGTAGCATCCGGAGACATGACATGTGCCAGCAGTTTGCTGCATTGTATGAGGAAGGCGCAAGCAAGCAATGTAGTTGCTGGTGGAGACATTTCAGCAAAGCGCAAACCGCAGAAAGTTGAGAGATGCTGTTCCGACATAAAAGTAATTGAACAAACCCTTTTTGTACTCTTGTCCCACGCAGGCTATTCGAGGTGCGCCGCTGGCTGGTACAGCGAACCTTGACTCCCCAATGAACCCGCACTGGCCAGTTGTTCAGAGATTTTTGTTCAGCAGAGCGAATGATGAATGACAAGACTTTGTGTTTTTTTCCATGTGATATTCCATGTGATATTATGGTGTAATACTTGTAATTGTTTGCAATATTTCAGAGGAAAGCGCAGTTTTGGAACTTTGTTGTGAATGTTGTGATGGGTAGCTTGGATCGGAATTGTTCTCGAAGAGGCCGTCCTCCTGAGTCCTCCTCAAGTTGTTTCTTTTTGTTTGCCGCTCTAGTTGTTCCAGCTGTCATCAACCAGCAAACTTGTTGTTTTATGTTGTTTTCCGGGCAAAAAATGCAAAAGCAAGGTTGACATTGCAAATGTACTGTGGGTGCCGCCAGCAAGAGTTTTTAGCCATGTCAAGGGCCGTACATCAATTGAAAGGGCCTCGAACTTCAATTGGAAGTCCGTGTCAGCTAGTAACAGCAGCTTGGTTCTAGTTGCAAGACCTTCGGAACGAATCACTGAATGCAAAATGCATCTACATTCTCCACAAATTGTTGAAGGCAAGATTTGTTCTAGAACCAACAAATATGTCAATACAATTACAGTACATGATTTGAGTGCCTGGAGATGAAGCAAGAATGAGCCGAATAGATGAGACAAATCTCCGCTTCACTGAAACCACTGCTCAACCAGTGTCAGCCTGTACATTTGCAACAGTGGCTCCTGTTTTCATGTGTGAGCACAGAGCACTGAGTTGACAATTCCTCAGCAGCTCCTGCTTGCTGATTAAGGGGCCAAAATCACATCATGGTACCAACGTCCGCCAACTCCACATCGCAGGAATAACAAAAAAGCGACAACGGCAAAGAACACTCTTTTGACAGCGAGTAACAGCAAGCATGGCATACGTCGTATATGTCACGTTCGCCCCACCGGCTCATCGGCTCAGCCTTTGATAAATCTTGTATTGAAATTCCCAAGCTGAGGACTACAAGGGCTATTGGTTCCACAAGAAACTGGCAGGGTGTGTGAACCAGCCTGGCTGGGCTGGCTGGGGCGCTGGAAAGGCCTGGTTTGGTTTCTAAGCTGGCGGACTCCTTGGGGTGAGCATGGTGCCAGCTATTGACAAATCACATGGCTAGCAAACTGGATTGTTGGAGATGTAAAGGACGGGGCATGAAGCGTTTGGAAACGTCACTTCTACTTCTTGAATACTTCAATACTTCATAATACTTCACTTTTTGACCTTGACTGCAGATGGAACCAAGCCTTGCAAAAATGGTGAAGGAGCATTCTGCTGATCGTATATGTAATATCCTGTCGAGGCTCTTTAGTTGAGGAATGGCATTCTTCCAGCTTTTGCCAGTGTTCACGAAAGGTAGCCCTTTAGGGGATACCTTGAGTTTGTCTTGCGAAGCAAGTGTTGGGACGTCCGGGTCTAATAATTGATCATTCAATTCAACCCCCCCCCCCCCCCCCCCCTCTCCAATTTGATTTTCCATACAGACCCCCCCCCCCTCGAATTAATTTTTCAATACAGACCCCCCCCCCTCTAAATTCAATTCTCTCCTGGAGAACGTCTTCGTGAGCCTCTCATGATTTCAGGATAGTTGAAACCCTCTTGAACATTCAGAAAGAGTGCATAATCACGAAAGGTGTTCCCCGAGGGGATACATACCTAGAGTTTGTTTTGTGAAGCACGTCAATTCTCTCCTGGGGAACGTCTTCGTGAGCCTCTTATGGTTTCAGGATAGTTCAACTCCTATGATGCTCCGATTCAATGCTCACCGATGATCTGAGCCATGGGGCAAGTTTGTTTTCCTCAGAATCTTTTTGAACATTTCGAGAGCATATGTTTGAACATTTAGAGTGCATATTAACATATATTTACGACAGGTCGCCTCCGAGGGGACAAATCACCATGTCGAACATTGCATTTTTGTTCCTGCCTCTCGCGTTCTCTTCTCTTCCCGCTGTCCTACCTTTCGTGTCTCCCTCCTCTCAAGTTGAAGTTTGAGGCATGATTGCCTGCTAAAGGAAATTGAATGAAATTGACCTCAATGCCTTGGATTGTCGTTCGTTCTTGAGACAAGTGCAACTCATGTTGTGGTTCAAGACTTGCTTGCTAGGTGGGAGCCTACTGCTGTAACCTTGCGTCCAATGTTCAATACATCGGCTCCTTGAGCAATCCTAAAGCTCATCCGTATGTCGCTTGGAGACAGCAAGGTTTTTTTGGTCAACTGCAAAGGCAAAGCCGCCTGAGACTTGGTTAAGGTCTATGAGACAAAGACTGATGCCGAGAAAGCATGCAGCACTGCTGGCTACCAACGACTTTGTCGAAAGTTTGAAATCGAAGGCTCCGGGACTTGAGTCAAGTGGTTCAGGACTTGAGTCAAGTGAGCCCAGCTAGCAACATAGGTGCTAAGTGCTACCGCAACATGCTTAGACCTGGCCAACAGATCATTAAATGGTAGTTATATAAACTGTGATGCTGGACTTAGAGTGAGGACTCCATATCAGTGCAAAAAACCTTGATCATGCTTTAGCTTTGATAAGGGGATTCAGGGTGGATAGGCAGCAGATTTTTTTGGAGTTCCTCCTTTACTCCTTGTTTGGCAAACCTGGGGCAGGCGTGTCCAAGACCAAAGGATCTACAGTAAAAGTCCTCCATTCCCCGCAAAGCCGAATGTTTGGATTCTTGTTCAATTTGGAATTGTCTTGTGTTGAGGCTTTGCAAAGTGCGCTGCTGGATGGTTGGCGGACTACAAAGGATACTGGTTTGATCGCACGAAAAGCGGCTGTGGGCATGGTGTCGGCTATCGCGGCTGGGGCAATGGCAAGGTGCATCCAGTACATTTATTTGATCTATCCCAAGGTTTTGCTGTTCTCCTCCAGGTAAACGCGGTAATAGAGAGTCCCAGCATGTGTAGCGCAACCAGCTGACAGGCTTGAAGTGTTCGCTTGACGCATCCTTCCATCCTGTATCCTATGTTGTTCTGTGTATCTTGAGATTTTCCATGTATATACACACTGTCGGGGATGCAACTACTGTCCCAGGTGGGTGCATACTGCTGCAGCCCTAAGGACAACATAAAGTTCGTTGGCAAACTCAGCAACTGGGCGATCGGAACGGCCCAGTCTTCGGAGCTACTAGTAGCTTCTTGTTCCTAGTAGTAAGGCCAGGAGCCCCTAGTAGCGTCCTTGCTCCTAGTAGCGATGCCCTTTGCTCCCAATAGCTTCTTGCTACTAATAGTAATGCCGCCCTTGTTACTAGTAATTAGATCGGAACCGGAATAGTTTCCATGCAAAGGTGATCCATCAGCCATGCCTTATGTCTACACCACCCGGGATGATGCAGAGCCCCTCGCTTGGTGGGTACTGGTACTGAGGACGTTGGAACATGCTGCTGGCAGTAAATATAGGAGATATTAGGACCAAAAGCACTTTTGGTATTCCCAGATCGCCATAGGCACAGGAGTGTGAGATCACGAATATCACGAAAGTGTGTGTGAACAGGAAAGCACGCGGCAAAATGTTTTTCCTTGAAACAGACAGTACAAGGATGCTCTTTTTTGGAAGGCAGCTTGCTAATTGCGTTTTCACAACAAAAGAGTCTGAGGAATGCCTGCAAGAAGTCTGGATACCGACGACTTTGCTACAGATCGGAGATTGAGTTCCACAGCGAGTGTGTCTGGCAAATAATTGTGCATGAACATAGCGACAGACTTGCAAAGCATGGGATCTTGTGCATTCATTACTAGGTCACGTTGAATTGATTCCCTCCATGCGTGTGAGAGTGTAAGAGGTGGCACAAAATGCCACTCGGAACTGAGGGGTGAGCCCAAATATGATCCATGCTGATTGATTCCACATTCTGTCCCCGTACTGTCAGTGTATATATAGTTGTTCTTCTTAGACTTCACCACCATCTGAGGCAAGGCTGGATGGATGAAAGACTTCAAGGGCTACTGGTTCGACAGGACACATCAACATTGTGGCACAGGTTGGGCCCTGCAAGATTTATGTTTACTGCAACCTTTTACTGTAGTCTTTTTTGGTTTCCCAGTATGATCATGCTTGACATACGGGGAAGCGATGGTGCCAGGCATAGGATACCGCAGTTGGGGTGCCGCCGACGCAGCTGGTGCTTATTGCTGTGAGAAACTCGAACTGCCACTAATTTGCAGAATTGCATAGAATTGCATTTGTGCTGGAGGGTAAGTCCAGAGTCTAGATACTAGTAAGGTCGGCCACTGAGATAGGGGGTTGTAGGGGGGAAGAGTCCCAAATATGGCACGGGTGGGCCAAATAACATGGGGCAAGGCTGAGAGTGTGAAAAAGTGTTGATATTGGGGTCTTCGTGATCATTGATGATTGATGATGGGCAGGTTTGATGGTTGGCTGAGCATGACGGATGGTGGGATTCATGGATGAAAAGGGAGCAAGTCCTAAATGGCTATGTGGGTGGGTGGGTGGGTGGGTGGATGGATGCATGGATGGACGGACAGACGGACGGACGGACGGATGGATGGGTCAAAGAGGAGAGAATGAGAGAGAGTAGAAGTGGATGTTGGGGAGATAAGTGGCTGGATGATCACCTTCTCAGGTTTACACCCAAAGGGACAGCTACACTTAGTCTAAACTTGTGAGTGGTGTCAATGACCTTTGAATATCCTTCAACACTGTGAGGGAGGCTAAATAGGTGATGGAGTTGCTATGAAACGCGCAACGTGGCTTTTATATGTTTTTATCAAATATGGTGACGTATGAGACAGCGAGAGTAGCATACTAGTATACTGATCTCGATGTTGCAGAATCCTGGTTTGATATGTTATCAGCGAAATTGAGTCTTGTATATACATGTCACCTGGTCCAGAATGCTTATATCGTTTCGTATGGTACGGTATGTTTATATAACATTTGTGCATATACCATTGCTTTGAAAAAGCGGCTGGGTCAGTTACGGCCAGTCAAGAGGTATTCAAGCTCACCCGACCGGGTGTCTAGGTCCCTGTCATTCATGTCGTTTGTCGTTTCTTTCTCAGGCCTTTGTGCCATGAAGATCGGTTGTCAGCTAGCAAGGGCGTTTGGCGCTGTGATGAATACAGTGGCACGCTTCTCGGCATAGTATAGGAACATATAGGAACATGCGTCGGGGGTAAACCAGCTGAAAAGTGTTACATTTGTGCTAGTTTTAAATATAATGTGTTGTTGCCGTCACATTGTAACTTACAAGTTAAAATCGACTTCAATACCTCATGGGGCGTTAAAGTGGTTGAGTGGTTCAGTCTTCACCTTGAGTGCAGCGAATAGCGAACTCCTTAGCTCCATTGACCCAGCAACTCTCTTGCGAACTCAGAAAGGCTGTAGCTTCTCCTTAAGCTGTGTCTAGACTTGAATCCGAACTTCTGCGCTACTCCCTGCATCGTGTGGATACTTGAACGGTCATGTTCTCACGGGGTCACCAACTGAGCACCAGTGTATAACTGTACAAAGCTTGGTTCCCTAGATATGTTTCATTAAGTTTGCCTTTCCATGAAAAGCATTTTGTTCCTTTAATGTGATCTCTTTTGAGATCAGTGGATGCTACCTTACTCTGTGACTGTGCTGCAAAGCAGATATGCAAATTGGTTCCCAGTTTGGTTCCTTATGGCCAGAATGACCCATGACGGCCCGCCTCTTTCTCAGGGTTGAGTGTGAGCACGTTTTGCATCCAAGCCGGTTTTCTGTGTTGTTCTCGTACCAATCCTGATCTAGTCACTACGTTTTGCATCCTTCACGGATGTTTTGTGGATCTTCTTTTCCTGTGAAAGGACCGTTGGTGCTTGATACGTAGGCCACATCCAGCAAATCCATTGCTGATCTCCGAGCAAAACATTGCAATTACAATCACATCCCTCTTGAGCATCGTATCAGGACTGGAGAGGAGAATGCATGCGTCGAGAAATACCAACAGATTGAAACGGATGGCAAGACTCGGTATTTCAAGTGCGTTGCCAGCAATGCGGGTGGAGGACGGAGTTTTGACAACCCGCAGCGTCCCTATACTATTGACTGTACTGAAGAAATCCGCTTTGCCATGGCCACACACATGACATGTTGTCCTTTTTCCAGCAACTCCCGCGTTTCAAACGGACCGTTTCTACTATACCAGCAACACAGTACTGCTCACTTTTTGCCGGTTCCAGGCAGATTCAATTGCCTTGCTGGTGAGTCGTGCCAACCCATTTATCCGCGTGGGCTCCCTGAAAACCCCTACACCTGGTGAGTTTCAGAGTCTCAACAGCACGCGGCGAGAAACAGAGTTTGGCATGCAATAATTACAGAGTTTCAGAGTCTTTCTTTCCAATTATTGGAGACTAGGCAAGAGGACTCTGTAGTTTGTACCCAGCATACTGATGCTTTTGTGCCAGTGTATGGACGACCTTTGGTTGATTAGTGTGCCTTTAATTACTCACTTAGCTGAAGTGCTTTCTCGCAGCTGTGGTAGCTCTATTATATACATGATTTTGACACGTCTTCAGAAGGTCCTGTTTGCAGGTTGGTATGGATACCTGCTAGTTACTAGTTGTAACTTGTGCGCGTGGCAAGACATCACCATGGCAGAGCAAGCAGAAAAGAGTATATAAACCAAGCGACCCCACAATCCCCCCCTGATCATTGACAACATGCTTGGACAAATTCGGTTGATTTGTGTGAGAGCACTTCCTCGCTGCGCATGGCATGGCTGCCGCAAAATGCCTTCAGTCTTGAGCATGCAAGAACTCCGCAACAATTCCAGGCACACAGCGCTGAAGGGGTTTAAAAGCAATCTTGAGCAAGCATTGCTTCCTGTTGACTTGGAGAAATGAGTACAATCACCAAGCCAATCAACTCCCAGCTAGTTAGTTGTAATCAAGAGCATGCAAGTACTGATATGTTTTCAGTTGAGCCTTGGGTGGTCGACAAAGTTGAATCAACAATGCTTTTGCAACTGGATCAAACAAAAGGTTTGTGTGCATGTGCATTGGATAGCTTTGGAACGTTCGAATGGTTGGTTTCAAATTGACATGCAAGTCCACACGCTTGCAACTGCAGAGTCCTGGTTCAAGTGACCTTGTTTGTGCTTTTTCGGGCTACAAGCTTGAATAGGACGCTGCAAAGGCAGAAACTGATTTCAGTGCTGCAGATGCACTTGCACCAAGTTCATTCATCACTAACTGTCAGTAAGTCTTGTTGCTAATCTCAACACAACACTCCCACGCATATCATGTCGAAATATGGCAACAGCTTTGGCGTTGCTTGGCATTTTTGGGGGGTAAGGTTTTGTGTGCTTTGGTTTGGTGTCTTCTGCATCAGCTTTTATTTCCTTCCATCTCCACAACTCAGGCTTGCAACACTATTGGAGCTTCAAGTTCTCGCTCTTCCACCGCGGCAATATTGCCCGGAGTCCTCAGTCCTTGTATGTCCGTGCGCTTTTGTTTCAGGGAATCAGGAAAGTGCAGGCTGCGCAAAAGTCAGGATGAGTGTGAGCAAACACTTGGCACAATGTGAATTGCATTACTGCCTGTTGCAGACTGACTCTTGCTCAGTTTTTGCTTGGAGCTGCTTGAGGTTGGGGTGAAGAACTCACTCCAGAGCTGTGCTGCAGCAATACCGGCAACATCGAGAAGTGTATGTTTGATCATCACTACTTCACGCAGTTTGAGTGCCTCCTGGCACTTTTGAGTATTTGCAGTGTACCTACTTGCTGCAGTAAATTCAGTCCATGTAGATTTGGCCACGTCTGGATTTGGTACCACCAAGCCATCATGCACAAGTATATTGCGAGATATTGCCAGATCGAACAAGTCTCCAGGTTGCCAGAGCAACTGGGCTATTTTGGATCCATATCCTTTGACAGTGGCACCAACTGTGTCATTCCCCGATCCAGATGACTGGAGCCAAAATCATCCAGCCTATTCGCAGGAGCAGTGATTTGGCTGCAGAAAATTGATCCTTAAGTTTACCCCACAGCCTGTGGCAGCCTTTCAGTCATTTATACCCAAACATGAGAGGCCCCCGAAACACACCTGGGGAAAAATTAATCAGCACGGATACAGCGCAAACAGATGGATGTTCTTCTACACAAATGTTGGCATTTGACAAGGATGATGTTTGCAAAAGCCTGCTAGGCAAGAGTGGGAGGAGTTGATTCGCTATGCAGCTCGAACTAAAGAGGTGCAGCTCTCCTCTGGAAGTTTGCAGCTCTATGTCTTCAAAGGCGTGGATGACGATCCTCAGACACTCAGGGTTAGGACAAGGTAGGAAGCAAAGTCAGAAGCTCTCAGCAGTCAACTTCCTAAACACTTTGGCTACGGACGTCCATAAGGATGCAATAGAAGTGTCGTTGTAAGAAGCGTTTCCGAGATGAGATTTTCAGAAAAACTTATAAGAATCTGCTGTTAGCTTCCTCATGGCCAACAGAATAGCCAGATCTGATTGAAAATGTGCTCACACTGTGCAGCCATGCAAGGACTCTAGCCATTTGCACAACAGCAGCTGAATGCCTGTGTTCTACAGTAATGTCAAGACCGGATTAATAACCCCCCCTCCCCCACATGGTAGGTCAACAAGGTCAAGAAGATATGAGATACCACTCATGAGGTCCACCTCTCCTAAACAATATGCTAATCCGCTAAGAAGCGAGTAGTAGTAGTAGTAGTAGTAGTAGTAGTAGTAGTACTAGTAGTACTAGTAGTACTAGTAGTACTAGTAGTACTAGTAGGAGTAGGAGTAGGACTAGCAGTAGCAGTAGCAGTAGCAGCAGCAGTAGTAGCAGCAGCAGCAGTAGCAGTTGTAGTAGTAGTAGTAGTAATGCGAAAAATTGACCTGGTTGTGGGCTCGGGTTCGCTCGGGGTGGTCCGGTGCCCAACTAGAGAATTAGGGGAAATCAGCCACAAGTAATACGTCTAATTTGTGCAATTTCCGAGGATTTCCGGGGGGCTTTGTGGGCTCGGATAAATCCTGACTTGACATTATATATATTTAGAGATAGAGAAGGCCTTTGATTTCGGACGGATGGACTACTCAGCGACACGAGCCAGCTCGTGACTGAGAGCGACACAGTCACATACCACTTCAGAAACAAAATGCACACACAACCAAATGCAACTCGTCCGAACCTGCCTGAATGCTCATCATGACCTCAGAGGAACTAGCTGACGTGAATCATACAGCCTCAAACGATACAAGCACAGCCCAAAAATCTGAGATGTTGACAAACGGATGCATTGTGAAAGTAAGGGGTGAATTGATTTGCTTCATCCAGGCGATATGCCTGATATCCACCTCTATCAGCTAGAGTCCGAGCAACGCAGCTGCAAGGGAAGAAGCGTCAAGAGATCCAGGAGTCAATGATGATGGAGGTGAGATGAGGTGAGTGGTGATCCGATCATTCTGGAAGTCATTCCAACCACGTCCAAAGATACGAGGTCTCCAAACGCCTTCGCACGGATTGTGGATATTGGCGCCAACTACGGCGGTGTGGCAGTAGCCTTGGCACAGCATCAGCCCTTTGCACGTCTCATGGTCCTTGAGCCCAACCCGCAGCTGGGGACAAAAGGAACGCTCATGTTCATGTAACACATTTGGCATTTGGTTCAAGCAATGAAGATCTAACTTTGAATCACCTGTGACGAGCTTTATGATCATTGCGTTACCCTTGCCTGACTCAGGCTTTTGTGCCGCTTCTTGCTGTGGAACATCCGCTCACACAATTTGACACATCGCGTTTGGCCCCTTTGCGCTGCTTTGGGCAACACAGAACTCTTCATTGAGCCATGTGGCTTGCCAGCAAATGGCTTGAGTCTTGAGGATTTTGTGAGTGCAAGATGGTGTTGCATGGTGCGGCATCGGCTTGACCGACTGGATTGCTCGTCAAAGAGTGCGAGTCACCGTTGAGTTGTTCATAACATTGATATAAGAAAAATGAAGCCAGACAAGACATTGTAATTGTTTGTCCATGCCTTCACAATTTGCGACCATTGCTGACCAGTCCCGTTTGCTTGTGTTGCAGGTAAGGAACCATGGGTTGGTGGTCCAGTGAACACTTGCATGAACCTGGCCATGCGTACCTTCACTGGCAAAGCATCGGACGGCTCTGCCGTGAAGGCCAGACATTAAATCGGTCACATCGAAGTGTCAGATCAAGCTCTGAAAATGGCTTCACAAGTGAATGTAACGGAACATGTAACATGAGAAACTCAAATCAAGCACAAAGTGAAGCACAAAGTGAGCCGCAGTGGCACCAGGTGCCAGCCTTGAACCTCAAAGACATTCTCAGTCACGTTGGTTGGGAAAGCTTTGACCTCTTGAAGCTGGACTGTGAAGGCAGCGAAAAGCTGTTTTCCAAAACGATTTATGCAACCGGACTGTTCGGAAATGGACGTCACAAGGCTTCATTGTATTATATAAACTACATATTATGTTTCTATATGATCTACAGTATTTATATGCCCACTTCAACTTCTCTGCTTTTTGCAAAAAGCATGAGCTTAGCGCCTGCCCCTTACTGTTAGCAAGCCAAGCGAATGGCTATTTCAAACCATGAATGCTTTCTTTACCCACGGGCGCTTGTAGAAATTGAATCCAAGAGCCTGTCTCTGTAAACGTCATGTTTGACTCAGGCTGTGAATGGCCATTGTCACGATTGGCACCACTGCCTAGACGCGCAGTGGGGGAGCTGCACTTTGACTGCTTTCAACGTCAGTGTTGGCCACCCAAGCAACGGTCGGGCAATTGCAGCCATGTCGCTCAGTTCTCATCCTTGCAGGACAGAACTCCGACTCCCGATTCCTACGTTTGTGGGTAAAAGGTGTAGACAAAACGCACATGGTGAGTTGTCTTTCTATTTGCATGTTTGAGCGCATATGCTTGTACCCAGTACACATTGTACTCTCAGTGTGTTGCTTTCGTGTTTGTTTTTGTCTATGAGTCTGTCAACATGATGATGTGCCTTACTTACTTACTTAGTTCGTAGAGTTTGCTCATTCTTTGATATCTCCCCCGCCTCGTACCAAACACACGGTGCCAAAAAAATAGATAGCAATGCTTAGAACATTTGCTCTGTCATGACTGGTCTAATTCTGGCAGCACATGGCACAATTGGAAGCGTTTATATATTCAATAAAATTGAACCATTTTTTATGAAATGAAAAGCTGTCCTTTGTTTGCACACGGGGTGACTTGTGAGCCCTCTAAACTGTACTCCCACCACTATTGAATGCAACCCCAGATTTGACGTTCCACGCTTTGGCGGGCTGCTGTTCAGGAGATGTGGGACCTCGCCGAC